GGAGGTCACATGAGCATTGTCGCCTATGGCAGATATTCTATAACTCAGGAACTACTTGGCCGATCGAGACGAAAATACCACCAGTCGATTTAGTGTATGCGATTTCATCAGTCAATTCGAATCATGGAGACCTCGTGTGACCTCGGTGACTTAGAGACGTCACATAACCATATTCAAAACTGAGCCCGGCCATGAACCATACTTCTTGCTTACCGAACGATTGCAAAATACGGAATTACCTACGAAGCGAGTTACAAGACAGCCAACATTTGCTCATGCCTGACGTTATGTTTTTTTTTGCACTAGTTCCGATTCTAACTAAGACCGGGTCTGGACGGTTCTAGATATGTCCAGTCGCGTCTAGTTAGAGTCTGGTTCAAAAAAAATCACCTCTGCTCTGCTACAGTGCCACCTCCTCCCGACCTGGGCCGTGCATGGGAGGGTTTCCAATCCCCATCAAGTAACTATGTCACTCCGCCTTTTTGCCAATGTTGCGACTTGCGAGGCGGTTGTACCTAATTGAAATTATCTCCCTCAGCACAAAAATTTTGCAATCAAAGATGGGCCTTTACAACAATTTTTAAGTGTTTGATATAGCCATAGGCGTCGCCAGAAATTTTGGGTTGGCGAAGGGGGCAAATTCATTTTTGGTATTAACCCGCGCCCTGGTGGTGTCTGTTTATAACGCGACCTGGTGGGGGGGGGGGCTATTTTTTGCCCCCCCCCTCGTATCTCCGAAACTACTGGACGGATCCCGGATCCGCAAAATTCAAACGGCGTTCGAAAGGCCTGTCAAATTTGTTGAGGGAAACCAAATTTCATTGACCTCGGGGTCACCGATGACGTCACAGGTCAGGTCAAAGATGAAATGTTTCACCGTTCACGGGTCTTCTAGGGAATGCGCTATAACACCGAGGAAAACGCATTTTGTCGAGAATCAGCGATAGGGCGTCAGTTGCCTAGTAGATATGTTGCTATTAGAGGTCACTGACAATACCAGGTCACGTCACAGGTCAGGTCACCAAGGGTCACAGGTCAGGTCACATGAGCCCAACTTTACTAAGGTTGTGTGATGCATGTTTTATGGCCAATTTTTCATTTCCAACTCAGTGGTGTTGGTTATAAGACTATCAGGTACGGCTTAGGTCACTTTCTGGTGAAGTTCAGGTCAAGGTCAGGTCAAGGTCAGCCCAAAAAGGTCAAATTTTAAAGTTGATAGTTTTGCATAAAATGGGTATTGATTCGATGCAGCTCGTCACGGGGAGTCTAATGGTGGTCTTTGTTTTGCGCTACGGGGTCTAGAATTGCTCAAAATTGAGTTTGAAAATTTGACGTCATCAATTTTGAACAGTTTTTTCGCTATAACTTCGCCAAAAAAAAAGAGGTATCAATCTCAAATTTGGTATGTGGATGGAAGGCGGTAAGGACTATCACATATATTCCGTTTTTTGCGAAATTCAAAAAACTTTTTGGATTTTTCGATCATTATATCCAAAAAAAATATTTTTTGATTTTTGGGGATCAAAATCCAAAAATTTCAAAAATCCGAGATAGCAGTTTTGTAGCCCTGTCAATTTTACAGCTTTTATGTCCCTATCATTTTTCTGTATTTGCAAAGCTATAGGCCTGACAGCTCTTCCCGCGAAACCCTTTTTTGGGTCGAAAACGGCAGAACATGACGTCACTCTGACGTCATTTCCGGCCAACCTATCATAGCCTTTGGAAAAATTTTTGGTCACCATGTGTAAAATTGATGTCCGGGAGGGTACTGAAAGTTTGGTGACGATCGGCGCAGCGGTTCTGGAGATATAACGAAAAGTCTGGAGGGGGGCAACAAATAGCCCCCCCCCCACCAGGTCGCGGGTTAAATGGTGCCTTGTAACAGTCGTTACATAGGCGGCGGAACAGGGAGGGCACCGGGGCACCGTGACCTCCGTTGAATTTGCAAAGGATGGCACCAATTGTCCAGTAGCTAATAAGTGCCCCCTAGCCCTTCACTTTCATACCAAAACAGTTTTGTGCTGAAACTGAATGCCCAACTCATTTTTGGTTTATAGTAATCGCCTGGTTGACGAAAATGTACGATAGTGATTAAGTATGATTGAATGTATTCATGTATCGTTTCAAAGTGACCTGATGACCTTTATATACCTATAGACGTGTCTTTCCAAAGTATATTCGCAAAGGGTGTTTGTAAACCTACCTAGGTAGGTAGGTATACAAGACGTGCAAAGGACAGCGGATCAAAGCGAAAACTTGAAAACGATATAAAGACGGTGGCAAAGTCCCTCCACGGCTCGGGAGTCGGGTGAAATTTTATATGCCTAGTCTGGAGAAGGGGAGAGTGGGGTAAGATGCCCAGAGTGGGACAGACCCACCCCCTCTAATGCCGAAACGAAGAATAAAACCTGGAAATTGACCTATGGTTATGAAATCTATAATTGTGAAATTTTTAGTTCAATGCGTGTAACTTGGCTATTTTTGAAGATATTGGGCTAACTGCACAAACAATTGCCAAGCTCAGTTGGGCAGCGGTGGGCTGGTGGCTGCATGTTTTATATTCACTGATTTAAAAGAAAAATAGTGTCAAAACATGGTAGGTAAATATCAAAGAAGGTAAATAATTGTTATGCCCGTTGCTATTGTCGTGATGCGTTCACACTGTGTCGCAATCAGTTTGTTTCAGGGTTTGGTATAAGTACTAACAAATTGTACTGATTTATTATTAATTTGGTACCTTGGGGAAAGATGCCCCTTGACCTGATGGGGAGAGACGCCCCCCTAAATCCGTAGGCTGCCCTTCAAGGAACCCGTCGAATCATTTAGTACATAATTGTGATGAGAGACAGAAGGCGATTTGGGACTATTGAGAGGGCAATACGGCCAGGTCAGGTGCTCCCCATGTCGGTCTCCCGGCCCACACAGCGACTTTTTTGGCGGCATCTGACTCTGAGAGCCCTCACGACGGCCTCTGAGGGCCCCATTAATGGCTCCGAGGCCCCGCACAGCATCCTTTGAGGGCTCCCACGCTGGCTCCACGGGCCTCGCTAAAATCTAATGTCCCCACGATGGTCTTGAGGGCCGTCAGCCCTCATGAAGACCTATAAGGGCCCCACAAACGGTCTCCGAACGCCACCACGGAGACTTGTTTGGCCGCGCTGGACAATAATGACTCTCACGAGGACCTCTGAAGCCCCTCACGACGACATTTGATGGCCCTTACGATGGCGTTGAAGTGTCTACCACAGGCTCAAAGGGAACTGATTCGTTCAATTCACGTGCCCATTGGCCATTTATCCCTCGCCCTGGCAGGGGGGGGGGTCGATGCGACCCCCCCCTAAGGTTTTTCAAAGATAGCGTAAAAACAGCGGCGCGCAGCGCCGCCAAATTTGGCACAGCCTATGGGGCAACCTTTTTACATATGACCTGAAAATTTCAGGTCCAGGTGACCTTGGGTCAGGTCACCAGGTCAGAAAAACCGGTACAAGGTCATGGTCAAATTTCAATTTTCTTTTTGCACCTGTCCAACTCACATTTTTTGACTGATTTCCTTCAAACTTTCAGGATGTGCTAAGTTCACCGAGTTGTATAACATATAGTCCGGCTTTTTTGAGGTCACTGACCTGAGGTCAGTTAGAGGTCATTACGTCGTAATGTTAAGCCTATGGGAAAATACTAAATTCGGAAAATACTGGAGATATCCACTTCGTTCTATCATTTTTGTGCTTTGAAACCACGGTACTTAACAGCAGGTCACTTGGTGCTTCTTTGTTTGGTGTACTTATCCATGGGTCAGGTCAAATGAGGTCAACTGAGGTCAAATGACGTTTTTGCCAATAACTTGGCACATAATGACGCTAGAGCTTAAAAAATGGTATCATTGTGTTCCTCGTGATCAGCCGAATCGAATGATATGCGATATGATGCAATTTGGTTAACTTGAACTTAATTTATTAATTTAAGTTTACTTAAAATTTAAGAAAAACTTTAAGTACACTTAAGCAAGCTAAAAAGTATGTCATTCGACGCGCCTTGAAGTGCTGAGTTCACTGGTGCTTTTCGTTTTGCTCTTTCTTAATTAGATCAAAAGTTATAAGCGAAAAACTTTTGACCTGTTTTTAGCGAAATTTTTACATTTATACCCCCCAAAACCCCCCTAAATATTGACCTAGAGCAACCAAATTTGCAGAGGGGCGAGAACTCCAGGGGGCCCACCTACCTACCAAATTTGGTGTTTCTAGGTGCCATAGGAGCCAATCGCGAGGGGGGGTCGCATCGACCCCCCCCCCCTGCCAGGCCGTGTTATGAAAAATGCCCTGCCAGGGCGAGGGTTATATGTCACTTATATCTTCCCCAACGCCAGGGGGCGTCCTTCCCACCATCTGGGATAAGATGACCCCTTGCTCTACTTCAGGAAAATGATTAATAGTAAAAAAGTTGTCTTAGAACAAAAACGAAAGTGTGATGTTTTGTGGAGAAAAATGATGTCGGCTTCCGTTGAAATTCAAAGTTTTTGCTTTCCGGTCGTCTATTTGAATAATCCATGACATTGCAAGCCCTTGGGCATCTTTCCCCACTCTCCCCCATATCTGGTGTGAGGCACTCGTACTGGGACAGCTCTGTTTTGAAGGTCTATGAAGTTGCTAACTATCTAGAACTACAAAAATACATCGCCCGCTGTTTATTTCTGCGCTGGGGATCCCGTCAACCCGTCGACACTGCGTACACCTGATCATCCCAGTTGCAGATAGCGCAATTTTTCATCTTACCCATTATCATGTAGCCTTTCAGAACATTTCTGGAAAGCCGCAGTAGTGCGGTTGTAAATACGATGCTGTGTTTATACAGCCGTCCTGCTCCAGTGCCGTCAAGGCCTCGGCTCTGTTGTTACCACGTTACGTAACTGCACGCGACATCATCTGCTGACGAGGTCCACGCTGCGCTGTCGGGGGTCGGGGGGGGGGCAGAGGTCACCTCTAGGGTAGGTATATCAGCCCGGCGCGGGACGCAGCGACCAGTCACTCTGCACACCACGGGAGTAGAACTCGGACAAGATGAGGATTCAGGTCGTACTGCTGGTGGCTCTGGCTGCCGTGGCGTCCGCTGATGAGGTAGGTAGTCTTATCAGACCTGAATGCTGTTTTGGTGTAGCCCACTAACGGTGCTATAAGGGTTCAAGCACTTTTCATAGTGGGGCCAGTTGGCATCTTGAAAACTCAATGACTTATATTAGAGTCAGGCTGAAACTGAATTGAACTTCGAAGTGTTCGGCTATTACATCGTGATATTCTTGAACATTCTTCAATTGATTCTGTGCTTTCTTTCGTATTGATTTTCGATTAACCAGATGGTCTTAAAATGATGTCGACTTTAGGGGAAAAGCGAAAGTTAAAGGTAGTGTGCCACCTTTGAAAGATTTCCCATTTTATTTTTCCTAGGATAAGAAGCTTCTGTTTTTACCTAATATCGCAAAAAAATAAATAAAAAATGGGCCTGGAATAGTGCCTTTTTCGCCTAAAAGTTTATCGGTTTTTCGATATGTATAACAACTGTAGTGGGCTGACCTGCAAACAGGCGTCGGCAACAATCGCGAATGCGGCGCACATGTGACAATAAGCAAAGGTCATTATAGAGTTACGACGTACGGGAATGAGTTATCAGCTGTCTAATCGTAGACAACACAATGTCGAGCCTTAAACTGTAAGCCTGTATTGGTATTGTTTCTTTTATTTGGCTGTCGAACATTATTTATGGTTTGAAATATGATTTTATGTAAAATAATTGATATGAAAAAGCCGTCTCTTAAGTTATGACCCCATTTCACCACACGCAAGTGGCAGAAATGACAATGATAAGCTGACGCATTTTTCTTGGCCGAAGTCAGAGCGCGCGGCCCGACGCACCACCACCGCACCACAAAGTATGAGCAGAAGCCGCGCCCAAAGCCAGGGCCCCGGTAACGTGAGGTAGCCGAGTCGGGGCAGCGTGCGCTGACCCAAGCCGGGGCCGCAGCTTTGGGCGCGGTCTACCGCATCCCCGCGGGCAGCCCCGGGCTATCACATGACACCGGGAGGACGCGCGGCCCCGGCTTGGGTCAGCGCACGCTGCCCCGACTCGGCTACCTCACGTTACCGGGGCCCTGGCTTTGGGCGCGGTCTACCGCACCACCTAACAGGCGTGTTCGAAACCGCAGGAGATGATGATGAACGGGTTTATCGAAACTTGATTGGATGAGCATATCGGTAATAGCGATTTCAGTGTGTGCATTTATTGTTCATAGTGGTGTGAAATGTGGTTGGGGTACGACCGACAACACGTCGGGGCGAATTTCGCACTGGGGTACTCAAAATTTGAAGAATTTAAGACGTTTCCATGAGTTTTGAAGGTATGGATAAGTTCTAAAAATCCGGTTCTCCTTATCTGGGCCATTAACTCCATACGGTCCAGGAAAGCTGGCACACTACCTTTAAGAGTTAGGTATATGCCAACATGAACTGTCTTCCGTCTGCTCACAAATGCCACAAATACGTTCCGGTAGAAATATAGCGATAATTAGTCATGCATTTTCGTCCTCGTTCATTTTCGTGCCGTCCACGTGAAGTCAGACGCTCATGGATATTGGTGTGTGGTAGTGGATATTGTGGTAGTGGTGTGTGGATATTGGTGATACGATATTTTCACCAAATATTCCACGTGATCAGTTATGAGTGGCACCATCTTGGATTATTATCGTCACCGCCAGAGCTACAAAAGCGCCGCACTGTCCAGTATGTTTCAGGCGTGTTTCATGTTGGACGTGTTTCAGGAGGGCGGCATCCTGGACAGCATTCGGAACGGCTTCAACAGGGCGGGCGCGGCCTTCAGCTCGCTGTACGCCACCTACGAGACGGCGCCGTACACGGTGGAGAGGACTGTGAAGACCGATGACGGGGAGGTAGGTCGGGGCTGTACTTACCGCACCGTTCCGTGCCGCTCAATGGTGGACGGCACTGTCAAATAAACTCGCCAGGCTTAGTGGTGTTACTTTGAAAACGGACAGACGCCGTGAGCCATATTACACTTGGTTAGGTGTCACAGCAGCGAATGGTGTGACATGTAAATTCAGTGGTAGACACGCTGTGGGATGTCGTTATCGAGTCATTATTTGGACTTAAGACTAAAGAAATAGACCAATGAACTTGAACCATTCCAATCTAAATGCTACCCATGTCCCCTTGAGAGCGATGGCTCTTGAGGGTCAGTTATATAACGTTACGACATGGCGACTCGCCAGGGATGCAGGTTACGAAACTTCGTCCGCGTTTAAAGTTGTAACAAAGCGAAGGGACGGCATCGCGGCAAAATCAGCTGGAAACATGTTGACCGTATAACTGAGATGTGTTATACCTAGCTCCAGCTGCATTTATGTATGATGCATATATGCATCTGATGCATAAATGCTTTGTGCTGTGCTCTGTGCGTTTTTTGTGTCATTTTGTTTTCAGTGTAGTGTGCATGGCGGCTGATCGTCCTTCCTGATGTCTCTCAGTAAAAGATCGATTCGTGGATACGCATTTCTCCAGGGCGGCGAGGGCGCGCTCCACGTGCGCCTCACGCCGCGAAGAGAAATGTTTGCTTTTGAGAAGAGAGCTTGCATACGTCCGCCGAAGGAAGTCGATCGACCAGCCACTCTGTCAGACCGACTGATCTCTCGCGAGAAGACATACGGGTATGCCGGGTGCGAGGGAAATTGACGAAGTTTTAAAACATACCGCATGCCCAACATCTGGCGACGGAAAGATAGCGGTGGCTCGTGAGCCTCAGCCAGAACGCTGCTTGTTGGCGAAGTACGGAAAGCACCCGTAGCAACGCGAAGTGAGGCATGGTGAATGGTGTCAAGCATTTTCTTACGCGACTCGCTGGCGCTGTCATAAATGAAACTTGCGTAGTCGAGCTTTGAACGTACCAGAGAGCGGTAAAGTAAAAGCAAGGTTCGTCGGTCAGCTCCATACGACGTACGTGATACACATTTTAAAATATTTAGAGTTTTTAAAACATCTTGGTGGCCCTGGAGGGTCAGTTATATAATATTACGATGGCGGTTTGTCAGGGATACAGGCTACGAAACTTCGTCCGCGCTTAAAATTGTAACAAAGAGAAGGGACGGCATCGCGGCAAAATCCGCTGAAAACATGTTGACCGTATAACTGAGATGTGTTATACCTAGCTCCAGCTGCATTTATGTATGACGCATATATGCATCTGATGCATAAATGCTTTGTGCTGTTACTACCCGCATTGTAGTGCGGGTAGTAACAGCACAAAGCCTCGAATATGTAACGATGTATGAAGGCCCGTATTGGATAAGAAAAGCTGACAATTATACAGTTATTAGAATTGTGTATTCGCTCAGGTAAATATTTAAACCAACTTAGGTATCTATTTGTGAGTGACCATCGTCACCTTTCGGATTTAGCTAGTTCATTCCGGTTTATGTTATCTGTTATGTTCGGTTCTCCAAGGCTGAGTTAGCTGTGGCATAGCACTATTTGTCCTCAATATTCAAACAGAGCTTGTGCTGAGTCAGCACACTGCTCTGGTAAACATATAGGCATCGCGCAGATACCGGGCCAGAGCGGACGGCCATAGTTTACACACATTACACTGAAAACAAATCTACTCTTCTCTCGTGAGTAAACTCACGGAAGAGCGGTTATATGGACACCACCTATTTGACGGCCCCAGCGACCGGTTAATCAACTCACCACATGCCGGTCAACTTTCCGATGAAACGTGCGTTTACTCATGCATATTTACCCACGCTCGATGAGTTAACTCATTGTGAAAACTCATGTATCGCTGGTTACTCATTTCCGTTACTCTCATTCTGTGAGTTAATTTACTCATGGATGGGCGGTTTTATGGACACCACCTATTTGACTGCGCCAGCGACCGGTCAATCTACTCACCTTACTCATTGTGAAAACTCATGTATCGCTGGTTACTCATTTCCGTTACTCTCATTCTGTGAGTTAATTTACTAATGGATGGGCGGTTTTATGGACACCACCTATTTGACTGCGCCAGCGACCGGTCAAACTACTCACCTCTTACCAGTCAACCTACTCATCAGTCATAGGTAAGGTTGACCGGCAGGAGATGAGTAGATTTTCCGCTGTTAATATTACGGATAACGCGACTTATCAGATTTTCATTCCCATCTTGCGTGTTATTTCGTGTGCAAAATAGCATGCAAGACGAGGAAGAACATCCAACAAGACCATACACTATCCGTAATACTAACACCGAGCAATGACACCGAACACAGAAACGTGGTCGTTTTATAGGAACAATCAACAAGATGTCGAATGATCTGTGAAACGACAAGTGCGTGGATACCTATTGTCATGCCATGGGCGACATAAAATTGACAAAATAATAACCCTGCGCTCACTTTGTACTGTTGAGGACGAATGACAAGTCAAGAGAACAGCAAAGTTAAATCTTTATTTTATGCACATACGAACAAGCAGGCTGGGCAACCTATTATGGACGGTAACGCTCAATGATCATAGCTGGTTGCAAGACCAGACCAGTTAAAGGAACCCATCATAACTTCATAAGGAGCAGACGGACCTATTATACCAAGCAGCTTTCTATTTCACAGTCTTATGTGCGATTATGTTATTTCGTATTCTGTAGAAAGGTCGTGCAACCAGCATGTGAAAGACGCAGTTTCAATAGTCATACGCAAACACAGTTTCAATGGTTTGGTTAACTGATACATTTCCGACTCCAAAGCTCTGCCTGTGCTTTACGTCAAAGTGCCTTGTATCTCATTCATTAGCGTCGAACGTTTCACGTCTCTTTACGGGACACCCTGCAACAAAATATAAACGAACTGCAACAAGCTAATTCAACTGCAACTAGTTATAAAGACAAAAACTTGCGGAACAGAAAACAGAAACAGAGAAAAGTATGAGGCACCAACAGATCTCTGCCGGTCAGTCTCTGTCCCGGCAGGTGGTCACTTAAGTCGACCGCCGAGGTTATAGCTCTTTGAACTCGACAACCGTCTCATTCTCCACGTAGAGCATGCCAGCTCGAACTTGCGGCCACATGGGTACTGGGGATGGCTGAAGCACAGCTCCGTGCTCGCCAGCGCGGTGCAGCAGGTGGTCGACTGCATCGTCTGCAACGAGAACAAATATTTTCGATATTATGAATGAGAATGGTTATATCCCGAGCAAGTTGCCTCGAGTCGATTAACGCATATTTTATCCTCGAGTGATGTAACGGTTTTATCCCGAGCCGTCAGGTGAGAAAAAAAAAACAGGAACTTTGAGAGCAGGAAAGAAAATATACACACCCGGGGCTGGGGACAATTTAATGATGTCACCGAGTTTTTGCCGAAGTTCCGAGGGTCATTAGACCCGAGGTATTTCGATAAAATACGAGGTTATATAATTAAATTGCCAGCCCTAGGGCAAGTTCATTTCCAAACATGCAACGCTCACAAATGTTCACAAAGTCCATAAATGCTGCTAAATAAATCAAATGTAGCAGAGGGTCGGACAACGTCCTTGACGACGGGCAGGACAACATATTATTCAGACAGAGGCTGAGCGGAGCGAAGCCGTATTCATTCAAATGAACATTCACTCTCTACTCACCGATAACGAGCCAGCTCTCCCCAATGTCCATCGCCGGCGGCCCGCTCGCGCTGTTGCCCTCGCCGGGGTCGGCGGTGGCGGCCGTGACCTCCGCATCGACAGAGGTGCTGGGACTCTGAATAACAAACAAATGGATGTTATTAATGTACGCCACAACAATACACAGTTACGGTCAGCCATTCTATTTTGAACAGAGTTTCCTGAGAGCAAACTAATGCACCGGTGCTGGGAGAAAACGTCATCTGATTTTGCAACTTTTAATGTTAAATTTTGCTGCAATACGTTCTACTGGTTTGTTTAAAAAGCGGGCATTAAAATTTAAAACATGTTTGTCTACCTAACATACAAAAATATGTGTCTTGGTGTTACGTTCAAAAGGCACTGCGGACCATTTAGATTGCTGGCTAGCTGAGTTGGATCTGGGAAAATTAAGTGAATTTGAGGCTCATTTTTTCAGGGCAAAGCAGTTTTCTTAGGTTATTGATAAAGGGCAGATACTAAGTTACCTTAAGTCCGTGCACTAATTGTGAGGCAGTTTTTTTTTGCAGGCTTAATACCTAGTTAGTTGTCTACCTTCAAAAAACAAAAAAAAAAGAAGAAATTTTTATACCTAGTTATAAGGAATCGTTGAAAAGGTTTTTAGATGAGTGAGGTACTGACTACTGACCTAGACGTGAATATGACATGGTAGGATCTGGAGGAGAAGGACTATAGGAAACCAGATACTGGGGGAGTGGAAACTGGAAAACGCAGTGGTATTAGACAGAACGGCACTGTGTGGTATATGATATGACATCATGTTTATTTCTATTTGTCTTTCACTATTAACACCTTAACAATCACCTTAACAGCTTAACCCGCGACCGCCTGGGGGGGTCGGATCCGACCCCCCCCCCTCCGTTTTTCTTGAATAACTCATGAACCTCTTGCGCTATCAACTTGAAACTTCGCATACCTTCTCCCCCATCAATTTGACGTCTCCTGTGCAATTTTTAAGAGAAAAATTTCAAAAATTTCTGAGATATATCGATTTTAGTGATGTAACTACATGGCGTTTTCAGTCAAAAAATGGTAAATGTTTAAAAAATCGCCAAAAATCGAGGTTTTAAGCAAATTGCAAATTAAGGACATGAAAAGACGCAGCTCAACGAGCTCTTTAAAATGGCTATCTCGGATTTTCCATAAAATGCGTTTTTCACCTCTAAAAATTCAAAAAACTATATTTTTGGAAAACAGCTAATAAAATCCAAAATTTTGAGAATATCCAAAAAAACCGGAATATATGTTATAGAGCTCTATTAGAACATTAGATGTCCCAAATTTCAACTTTCTATCTTGATTTTTGACCCCCAAATTGTAAAAAATAGCTCCAACATGCATAGGGCATGGTGACGTCATAAGCATTTTCGCGAATTAGAGGCACTTCTGAACATCGCATGTGAAAACAAATGGCACCACTAGATTCCTGGGACAAAGCTCGTCTAGAAAAGTGCATTTTTATGTCAAAAAGAAAAAGTTGAAAAATTGACTTTTTTTTCTTAGCCCTCGTATGGTATAAACGATTTTTATGCTTTCAATGCACACTTATCACCAGCACAGTGACTTGGGGTCACATATAACCATTACCATCGGATTTGGCGTGAAAAATAAGCCATAAAACATGTGTCGCACGCCCATGTAGCAGAAAGTGAAAACCGTGACCTTTCGTGACCTGACCTGACCTTGACCCGTACTTAGTATGACCCCTATACGCACATGGTACCTTCACTATGTCTTTGAGGTCATTTGTGGTGAGTTTCGAGCAGCAGCTATCGATTCCGCTGTCCGTAAGCCTAATCATGCAAAACCCCTGAATTTGACCTTTGACCTGACCTTGACCCGAAAGTTGACCTCAATCTTAAAATCTTAAGAGTGCTTTGGGAAGGTCTCGTAGAGACCTTTCGAACGCCGCCTCGCGGGGCTCGATACGACCATTGGTTCTCGAGATAACAGGGGGGGGGTCGGATCCGACCCCCCCCCCAGGCTGATGTGGGTACGGAAATAGCCCAGGCGGTGCCGGGTTAACGTCATGGGAAACTACAGTGTGGCATGGACACTGGCCAGCCTGCGATTCATGTGCACAATTGGAATACTTATTTGTGGTGAAATTTCATCTGAGAACAGGTCATAAGCAGTTTCAAAATCATTTTTTTCACCTGACACTAAGCACAGCATTCCAACCTACCCACCTTCGACCTAAATCAATTTTTTATTATAGCTGGGCACCTGTGAACTTGCATATTTTGCCATTTGTTTGCATTTACATTTTGGTATTCCTCTGATAGGCATGTGTCACAGGTAGCTTTTGGATGCCACTGGCATTTTTTTGTCTTTAGCAGTGATAAAACAGCAAAATATGTCAACATTTTCTTTTTTCCCTGAACCTAAAAAATCAGGCTGTGAAAACCTGATGCATTTTTGAATTCAGCGCATACCTATATAGATGTTACGCTTGACATGCACTGAAGCTTTTGGCATGCAATTTTGCCACTACAAGCATGGCCCTGGCTATGTGCATATTAAAAATATAAGCTATTCTGCCTGTTACCCTGGATCTGGATGTACAGAGGTCTATAAATTCATTGCATGCTGCTTGAAAGGCAGTCTGATACCTAAACAGCAGTATGACGTGGACGCGGGGCCACGCATGTGAACTTCCTGGCCCCTTTACAGTATATTAATGTCCCAGGCCTGCATGTAGGTTAGCAAAGAGAGCTGTGGCTTAATTCTCTGGTATTTTCCACGCACAATACACTTAATAAAGCAAAATATCTGGTATTTTACTCACCTTAACTTGCAGCACGCGACTCCCCCTGCACACACGCATCCGGCCGGAACGAAAATGGCGGCGAGGCGGCCTATGATCCATCGGTAAAGAAACTCGTCAAAAACGAGTTTGATAACCGGTCGGCTTTGAGTACGCTTTTTACGCACGATTTGTGATTTTATTTACTCATAACTCTTTACCAGAACTCGCTTTTTGCAGATTTAGTGAATGCATGATTCGTGAGTACGATAATTACGCGCAATACATGAGTCAATGAACTCTTATTTCATGCGTTCGGGGCCGCCTTACTCATGGATGGCAGGTCATTAATTTCTTTGCATGAGTTTTTGTTATGAGTAAACCAGAACTCAGGGCTTGGAATGCTTCATACACGAGTAAACCTGCGGTTGAAACTCATTAGCGGCTGGTAAAATGACCTTTACTCTCCATATACGAGTAGATTTGTTTTCAGTGTAGGTCACATGCAGGCACTGAAGCTGGGAGCTGTTCAAAAGCAGCGAGCACTGCCCGCCCCGCTGTGCACATCTGCGAAGATGAAGGGCGCATCTCGGGTACAAAAGTATGATATGGGAAAGCATACGCGCATACGTCTGTAATGAATCGTGTAGTTAACAAAATCGAAGCGCTGCTGGATGTTAATAAAAAAGTATTGTTTGGTATTCAAAGGTGGCCTGAATTATCAACTCAATCTTTAAAGATCAACTTATCTTGAACTCTATCTTTTTTCTCGACAACTGAGCACACAGACTCATTTCACATGTATGTTTGTTAGGTATATGTTTCTTGACAACGACCTTGGTGCGAAGGTCGAAAATTCGAAACGAAAACAATGAACGACTTATTTATAATTATAATAGCCGAAAAACGTACCTTGAATTAAGATGTCTAGTCGTAAAAGCTTGAAATCATATATCACTTCGTAATAATCCATCTACCTTCGCAGAAGCTATGGATGACGCATTCTCGTGAACTCTGGCTCAATTATTCACGGTTCCACTGTGAATGAAGTGTTTGAATAAATCAAACCCTCAGTCGCGTCGCTCTTATCACAATACTGATCAAACCTGACATTTTGACGGTGTTTCTGCAGAGCATAATTTACGAGGAGCGGAACTACCCCGGTCAGAAATGGGTGTGCACCACAGAAATTGACGACGAGGAGGAAGAGCAGAGCAAGGACGCGTTCATGAGGCTGTTCGGCTACATCACTGGAGACAACGAGGGAGGTAAGGGAGAGAGAGAGAGAGAGAGAGAGAGAGAGAGAGAGAGAGAGAGAGAGAGAGAGAGAGAGAGAGAGAGAGGGAAGGAGGGATGGAGGAACGTAGTGGCAAGAAGAAAAGATGAACTGAATGCAGCGTAACGCATAATCATCAGGCAGTTTTAACGGTCATTTATGCACCATTTTTGGTTACCGTTTGTTTCATAAGTAACCCAAAGGGAACGCATGAGACGTTGAGAAGTAGGGAAATCCACCACGAACTCTGCACCAACTTGACCTCGTCTGGGCTCACCATCTCAGGTATCACTATCCCGATGACCACGCCGGTCTCGATGGTACGTGAGCCTCTGACGGCCGAGGAGCTGGCCAATCAGGAGAGCCAGAGCGACGAGGACACACAGGAGCAGGAGAGTGAGGAGGTGCACAGCAAGTACACCATGTGCTTCTACATCAACCAGGCCAACCAGGAGAACGCGCCGCCGCCGACCAACCCGGAGGTGTACATCGAGAACCGACCCACCATGACCGTCATCGCTAGGTACGGAGGGGGAGAGGGAGAGAGAGAGAGAGAGAGAGAGAGAGAGAGAGAGAGAGAGAGAGAGAGGGAGAGAGAGAGGAGGGGAGAGGAGAAGAGAGGAGAGGGAAAGGAAGAGCGGGAGAGGAAGACATAATGGGTAGAGTATGACTAAGTGTGGTGATAAAACGCAGGAGCTTTGTTGTAAGCCAACCCGACCAACAACAAAAGGTTATTTTGAAGCAAAACTTGTATTTATTGATAACCAATTTTTCTGTTTATTTCTCTATTTCTGCAGTCAAACTGGCGGCTACATGGATGATGAGGACTGGGTGGCGATGGCGGACAAATTGAAACAGGATGCGACGGCCCAAGGAGAGACCGGCGTGGATTATTCGAGCTTCTACCGGTTAGTATGAGACTCAACGTAATGAAGATGATATCTAATAATTGTGTGACTAAATGGCTAAAGTTGAAGGCCCTGACTAGGATCCATATTCCCTCGCTCCACCTCCCAACTCCATCCCCAATCCAATCCAAACCATCATTGGAACTGTGTTGTCATCACAACCGTGATAGCCCTGAAGCAAGGAATGTCATACCATGTCAGCCATATGATCTCAATACGGCATAGCAATAGGATTGGTACTGTCTTGTGCAGACTTTTAAAACTGACGACTTATTTTTCTGTTTAAAGGCGCTAAACTGGACTGGCCTGGTATTGCATGCGTCTTATTTATAGCAAACATAATCCAGTATTTTGCGCGATTGATGGAACGTTTTGCGTCTCTATGTGCTTCGTGTTTATCTTTTTAGTTACTTCCCTAATATATGTGTCAGTATCAGTGTCTGCCGTTTTAAAACCATCCCCCGACCCCGCAGGGCCGGGTACGACAGCCCCATGAAGTTCTGGAACCGCCGTAACGAGATCTGGTACGTGAAACAGGCCTAAGGATCCGGGCATCCTCTCAAAAAGGACCGACGGACTATTCGACCGGTCGCCTGACTCGGAGTCGAGACAGGCCGCGACTCTTCAGAACACTCGAGTCAGTCACCCACCGATGGGTGTGAGTGATAAGCCCATGCAAAGTTCACAACGTTATAGTGTCAGAAGCTTGCAAATGTCATAAGAATCGGTCTTTGGCTACGTAACTATTAGCAATAGCACTACATATGTACAGCTAGAGTCTAGAGCGCAATAACCTTATGCTATTTCTAGCACAGAGAGATGCGATGCGCACTGCTTTATGATGTTATATAAGCGATAGTGATACGATAAGTGTTTTATCAGCACGCATTTTCTGTGACACCGCGAGGTCCTACTCGTGTGTACCTTATTGTTGATTGTCCATGCAGCGATGTTGTCGCCTTTTTCGTGTGCTTTAAATGTGATAATATATGAAGATCATTGTCCATCTCAGTGTCCGTTGCGCTGTCACTCACCATGATCACCACTAACGAAGTCACCAATCACCAAGTGTCGTATCTGTCATTGCGTATAGTTCTTTGTATAACATGCAGGGCTAAGTACGAAACAGTGAACACGCAGTCACATATGGTTTGTTCACCACAGTATCCGTGGTATTACCTCAGCACGCTGCTCCCACATTTTCAACGCCTGAAATCAAGTCGAGAATAATATCGTGCACAGAGCAGGGAGCTGTCTCACGGCAGGGCGTCATTAGGGCTGCAGCGGTCGCGGATGTTTTGAGCGCTGTGAGCCGCGCGCCATTGATGTGCTCAATGGCTCAACGATCGACTACCGGTCGTGTCGACAGAAACAGGAAGGACAACAGGATGACACAGTTTGAGGCTGATGGGAACGTGAAGGTTAGCAACGAGACAATTCGGGCTCGGTGATCGAGGCTGACGTCCAATGCGGGTGGGGAGGAGAGCACAGATGGATTATTGACTGCTTTGATGACGATGCTGCGGGTAGGGAGGTGAGAACAGATAGATTCATATTGACTGCTTTGATGCTGCTGATCGCTTTTCACTCTGCAGGAGGGTTTGTAAGAGTGCTGCCATCTATGTACAGAACGGCTGGCGTGTCGTGTGTCTGTATAGGTGTCACAGAGGGTCCGTACGGTGCAGAGGCTCTCAGAGACCAGCTGAGCCCTGAGAGTCTGCGTGAAGGCCCTCAAAGATTGGTGTGGACCGTCATAAGAGGCCCAAAAACGCACCCAGAAAGATTACGCATCCCCAAGGGTACACTTGAAAAAGCCAATGAAGGACCTTCGGCAGCATACTTCCGATTAATGATGCAAGCAGCACTGTAACGGTGGGTTTTTGTTTACCTTGTACCACTCATTCATCACTAAGCGATAAGACTTTTTGCTGTAGGTACATTGTAGACAAAATGGCCCATTGCCAGTAACGAAAAAAAAAAACAGATATCAGACGAGAGGGAAATGGCTGAAAAACTAAATTTTCACATTTTAATTTTGCATTCTACTCAGACGAACACCAACTCTCATGGAAGCGATTGCTAGATTAACATATTTCGCTGTACTGTGAGAAACGAGTTGAAAAACTCTGATAACAGCATAAGAAAATTCATGAAGAAGCCGATTATAAATATTTGACTTCAATGATGAACAGTACTATACTCTATATATAGATAAATAAACAAATCCGCTCAACTCGCAGCTGATTTCGTGCTGAAAACCATCGCCCAGATGAGTGCAATCCAAATCCCTGGTAATAAACACATAGACATAAAAACTACCGATGAATCACGGTTGTATTGCGCACACATCCACCACGAGTTGTGCTTTAGTCATGTTTAAATATCACCATGACCAAAGCAGAACTCGTGAGGGAAGTGATGGGAAATGTTGTCATCCGTTGGAAATCAGCCATATCTTCACTAGCTGCGACATCTTGGAAAGCAAAGCGGCCAAAATATTGGTGACGAATCATAGCAAACCCGTCACGAAATGTGCTTCAGTCATGCGTTCATATCACCACGACTATGAGGCACAGTCCGCGAAAGACATCCGCAGTCCCCAGATTCCCCCTGAAGAAATTCAGAGGACATTATTATCACGAGCAAGCAAGAGCCAAATGCCAACAAGCCAACTTTTGGAGGAATTCTCAATGCTATCAAATTGCATGCGACCTCATCCTTTGACTATGTGATGACATGCTAGATGCGATGGGAAGTGATGCATCTCAAATAATGTATATATCACAGCCCAGCGTACCAAACATGCCAGCACATCGGGGGCGTCAACAGAACTGCTGTTGTGGAGCGGCAGACAGTCTTTGTTGAAGTGAAACAGCCTGCATGTGTAGCGCAATGTAAATGAGTTGCTGGAAGGAGGAAGGCGATAGGTATATCATACACGCACATTGCACTTAGTAGCTATCAGGACTGAAACTGTACATAGGTACTTGTGACGAACAGGAGTGACTATAGCTTCATGCATGCATGTTGTAAACGTTGCTTCTGCCATATATGTTTTGGCAGTGTAATGACATATTAAACACCCTGAGCAGTGGGCAGTGATACAGCTAAAAAAAAAAAAAAAAACTGTATACCACAGCTCAGGGCACCAAAGATGCCAAAACAGGACATTTAATACCACGGCCGGTCACAATAGTGACATTTACATATATTCATTATGTTCACAAAATAGCCAGGTGAATCCCTTTGGTTGAATGTTGCCTACAGCTGCTGGTCCGATGTATTTACGCTAGCATAGTCTGCGTCCCGGGAGGAGAGCTGTTTTAACTAGCAGCCAGCCGCCCCGTCCGCAAACCATGCCACGTTTAGATGGTGATCACTCAGCGATTGGAACAAAAAATCCACATCGCCAATCACATTTGCTTCTCATTTTAAACATTTTTTTTTTATTTAACACACTTCGTTAAATTGTGTAATCTCAAACATTTTTCACAACGGTAGGTCAAATATAGTCGATTACATTCAAAATTTATTTATGTGTCGTCTTTTACTATGTAACCTCTTCCGTTCTTCAGTATTGTGATGACATGTGAGATGCGATGGGTTGTGATACAACTTCACTAGTGCATATCACAGCCCATCACACCAAACATATCAGCACATGTCTTCGACAGGCCGGCTGTAGACTTGACGATTACTAAAAGATACAAGGCTTCCGGTGACATATTTCCACCATCATCCACCTCACGGCCAGTGACGCCAACGCTGATATTGAGGCCGGGAGATGGAAATGGCTGAAAGGGCCGATTTTTCATCTGTCCATGTTGCATTCTACATTGTACACCAGCCGTCTGGGAAGCGATAGCTGGATCAAATGTTCCCAATACACTGTGAGGATGAGTTGGGAAATGCTGATAATAACACGGAACGGAAAAGTAAATTTATGAAGCACATTAGATGTTTCACTAAAATGATGATAGGTTTTAGTTATAAAAATTGGCTGAGCTCGCAGTTGATCTCAAAAGATACTCAGATTGGTATTGATCCAATATCATTTTTTCTTAATACCAGCAATCAGTGTTGTTGTTTGTTTATTGGGGCTTAATGGCGCGCCGACTACAAGGCCATTTTGCGCCCATAACTTAATAACCACAGGTACCGAAAAATAAAAGTTTCAATAATTGTTACAAACTTTAAGCAGTATTCGTTTTACAGTTTGCTTCGTCTTTTGGTTGACATTGTGAATTGACATGTTAGATGCGATGGGAAGCGATGCAGCTCAAATAACGTACATCACGACCCAGTGCTTCAATCATGCCAACACAACGATTTACGGTTCAGCCTATTCATTTTGGGAATGACTCTTGACTATATTTTTGAATACAGCCAAAACCATGTAGGTATGCCACAGCTCAGGGCACAAGTATGCCAAAGCATCGGATAATCGATTATCGACATGTCACAAAGCAAAAAGAACATGCCATGGCCGGATATTATAATTCCATTTATGCTCATCGCGTTTATAAATTAGTTAGCGAAACATCGTGACGCTTACAATCCCTGATTGTAAACACACAGACATACAACCTACCGATGAATTGCACGGTTGAGTTGCGCACACACCCCTCACGAGTTGGGCTTTTACCATCTTCAAATATCACCATGGCCAAAGCAGAACTCGTGAAGGAAGTGAGCGAAAAAAGTCAGAGCCCATTATTATCCCAAGCTGGAAAGAGCCAAATGTTAACAAGCTGAGCTCGTGAAGGAAGCCCCGCAATGTCATCACTCTGCATGTCATCTTATCAGTGTTGACATGCGAGATCCGATGGGAAGTGAAATAATGAATAATAAATAATGAGTACATGTATCACAGCCCAGTGCACCAAGCGTACCAACACATCGGACATTTTTATGCCAGGGCCAGTGTTCATCAAGCAGGCGTAAAGCAGTCAAATGAGCCATCTTCAATTTATGTGTACTAACCGCTGGTCTGATGTAATTAGGTACGGTAGCATAGTCTGCGTTCTGGGAGGAGAGCTGTTCTAACTGGCAGCCGGGCTCCCTTGTGTTTTTTTTTATATAACTAAAAAAGCGGCCTCCAATTTTGACTCGTCATTTTCAGTACCTCTCCGGGCATCAATTTCATCCAACTTTAGAAAAAAATGGGTTCTAGGTCATCTCAGATCATTTTTGTTGTTGTTTTTTGTTTTGTTGGGTTAGGCCCTTTCGGTCGACAAGACCATTGCAGAGCCGGAAGGATGATAGGAATTAGGGGGAGACATTGGTCTGGGCAGGCACCCTAGTGAGTCGCCGGGGCTGAGCCCGTCCGAAGACAGGCCACCCAGCCCCAAGGCACTCACTGCACCCGGCTACGGGGTGCGCTCCCTCGGGAGCAGCGGTGCCGCTCCAAGGGAGCAGCCCGCATGAGATAAAGTTGCCTGCCTAGCCCGGAAAGGGGTTGTGGCGTGGAGGAGAAGGATTTCAGTATCCTGAGGATAGAAGCACGGACAGGTGATCTCAGATCATAACTGAGGACACGTTAAGTGAAAACACACTACAGCCCTAAATGTAAGCAAACGGACATACAAAGTAAACTTTCGATGAATCACGGTTGTGCTGCGCACACATCCATCACAAGTTGTGCTTTAGTCATGTTCAGATATCACCATGACCAAAGCACAACTCGTGAAAGAAGTGAGCGAAAATGTCATTATCTAAAGCCAAACACATACATGCTGACCAGCTGCACGACATCTATGTGACAAAAGACAAAATAATGGTGACGAAGGGTGGCAAACCCGTCACGAAATGTGCTACAGTCATGCGTTATTAGCACCACGACTGGTGGCACAGTCCGTGAAGGACATGCGAATTGCGCGGGCTTCCTTGAAGTCACAGGCCATTATTATTGCCAGCAAAGAAGAGGCAAATGTCAACAAGCGGAACATGGCACACATTCTTCATGTCATCATTCCGCATGTCATCTCACCCTTCGACAGTGTGATG